ATATGTCTAACTTGAGTATCTATGCTAATAGGAAAATTATATTTATTTATCTGTAGCTACATCCAGAATTATGTATTTATATCAAACTTCTTTATATATTCTTTTTTATCTTTCTTATTGTTTAAATAAATATTCTTGTAGATATTTACAGTATCCTTGTAGATATTATTCAATTATTTCTACATCTTTGAGAATACTCTAAAAACAATTTACGGTGTTAAATTTCGTTATTAGGGTACCCTTCCCATAAACGGACAAATTTTTTGGTCCCATGAATGTCTGCTTAACGGAGGTTTCACTGTATATATATATATATATACATATATATAATTTTTTTTTTCATAGGTGACTTTTTTGAAAATAGTGAAACTAAGGTGTTCAAAAATACATTCAGAAATATCGGTTCAAAGTTACACCACAATATCTGTACCTTAAATCACGAAAGTCAGCGAATTTCTTGATACTGAGGGTTAAATTGAAACATGTTCGTTCGTGTTGAGCCATAGTCTCGTGTATTCCAGTTTAATGAATAAAATATTATGGTTCAACTTTGCACAGTATCAATATTGCTGCAAATTCTAACGAAATTATGGTTCAACTATACTCTTTATTAAACTTATATTTAACCTATATTAAACTAATTGCCAATTTCAACAATATTATGGTTAAACTTTGTACTATTAAATTTACTGCAAATTCCAGTGATATCATGGTTTAACTTTGCACTATATTTAACTTGCAACAAATTCCAAAGATAATATAAATAAACTTTGAACTACAATGAAGTTACAGCAGATTCAAACGTATTATGATTGAGCTTTGCATAAAATTGCAGCAAATTCCAACTATAAAGCGGTGCAACACGTTTGAAATATCCGATTCTATTAGGTAGATATATCAGAAAAACTAAAGTTTCAGAAATTTATTGGTTACGTTTTTTTTCATATAATCAGTGATGATTGTATCTAATTTCAATGAAAAGATGATAAAATTGCATAAAAACACAAATACTGGTAAAATTACCGATCTACATGCCAATATGATTTCTGGTAAAACAAAACAACATAATTATTAATAAACCAAATAAATAGTAAATATAACCGAATAAATGGTTATTGTGCCATGCTCTAAGGTGTCATGATAAAAGTGCCAAATTTTACCGCATTTACCAAATTTTATCACATATTATAAAACCATATTTTATTGTTGATTTTACGAAATTCATTATCAAAGTACTTTGGTGAAAAATATTGAGATTTGTGATGTTCCCATGGAACTAGAAACAGTACATTTTACCATATTCTGGTAGTTTTGACAATACTATTTTTTCAGTGTACAATAGAACAAAAATAGAACTTTAAAAAGAGCTCTAAAGGTCAATAAAAGATTACGAAAACAAAGAAATATGCCAAAAATTTAAACATTGTTTACAATTTTTTCTGAGGAATAGATTATAAAAATTTATTTTTACGATAAAAATCTTCTTTAATAAAAATGTAAAAGTGAACACTCTCTCATAATCAGGAAAAAAAATATAAGTTAAATAAAGTTTAATAAATTTAAGAAAATAGTATAAGAGAATAGTTCAGTAATATAAGTAAAAAGTATAATAAATAAAATAATATAGACGTGAAATATATAAAAACCAATTGGATTTATCCAATAGCCTAGATGCAAAACTTACTAATAAAAATATTAAAAAATTCAATGGGTTAACGAATTTATCAGTTCTGAAAAATATTGCTTAGTTTCAATAGTAATAGCTGTTATTAAAAACTCGGAAGATAATAGCTGTCCCTGTCATTTTCCGAAATTTTTATAATTTTTTTTTTAAATAAAAAGTGAATCTATATACTTTATAGCACTTTTGTATACGTATTTGCTTTGTTCTCAATTTATTTCGTATCTTTTTTAAAATAATTTTTTTTTCGATTACGTTTCGCTTACTCACATTTATAATAACATTTTAAAATGAAAGAAGCATATTTTCTTATCTTTTACATTATTGATTTATTAGATATTTCCAAAGCGTTTCAAAGCATTTTATCATTTCCCTTTCTCATCATTTATATAAACAAAATTTTTTAAAACTTATTCCAATAATTTTAACTGCAATTGTTAATTAAGTTCGCATTGTAAAATATTTAAATGCAGATTTCTTTCATGCAAATTCTTACTCATGTATTTTTTCTCAGAACTGTTTACTTCAGAATAACGAAAAATAGTTAAGATAAAAAAGTAAAACAGTTCAACTACTATGAGTATTTAGATTTTAATTTATGTATAAAGGAAATTTATTATTTTAAAAACATATTTACATTACATTATTCTAGTCTAAAACTCTACTCGATGGCTCATAGAAAAGTATTATTGCAATACAAATTAATATATATATATATATTATCCTTAATCTTAATTTTATATATATTAATATATAATAATAATATATTATGTATACATATACCGTATTATGTATACACTCGGTATTATGTATACACTCTATAANTATATATATATATTATACACTCACTTATTAACTCTCTCAATTCCTGCATTGCAGGTTTCCTTTTGTCGAGTGTTTCATGGAGTTCATCTTCAGCCTTCTTAAGAAATCTTTCAGGTACATTAAATGATTCAAACGGATACAAAATGTCGGATGAGTCCTCCTTCATAACCCCCATTATGAAATACAAATGAATCTAAAAGAAAAAGAGTATATACAATCATCGGGAATATATAAATTTTAATCACATACACTTTATGCGATTACAGTTTGTGTATTGAATAACAGACAAAGAAATTGGAATATTGTCGAATAGTTCGTGACTTATTATTTATAGGCTTAAAAATGTTGCTTCATAAATAGATATCTATAAATGCTTAAAAATATATATGTTGTATAGAGCACTCATGGATATGTAGATGATTAGAAAACCGATGAAATTTCTTATCTCACGTTGGCAACAGTGAGCTGAAATAAAATAAACTGAGTGGAAATGGAGTGTTGAAAGCAAACAGTTCATATAAAGTAACTGAACTATATTTTTGTTTTAATTATGTCCTTTAATTTATGCAAGCATTATAATTATTTAGAGTTTTATTTTAGTTTTAATGATGCTTATTAATTTACATATGAGAAGGCAGAGGCTTTTTAATAAAAGTAAAATCAAACAGAATTAGCAAAAATCAGAAATCTATATATATTATATGACACTTATCATCGATTCAAGCTAAATTTTTGCTTCAAAGGAAAAATTCTACCCTCATTTTAACCTAATTTGTTACATTCTTTAATTTTCAAACCTTCTCCTTCGTTTTTAAGAGTTCGTTTAAGAAAACTGCAGCGTCTCCAAAATTTAAAATTAATAATTGTGTTTTTCGAAATATGAAGTATTTATTTCAAATATAATCTCCACGCGATTTTGAATTGTAGATAAATCAAAAAGTATATAAATAAGAATTAATAGTAATTAAAGAAAGCAGTTGCATATTTTTAGAGCTTCATTTTTAAAATAACAATTTTTATTTTATATTTTATAACCGTCGTTGAATAGCCGAACCAGTTTTTTGGTTTAAGACTATTAATTTTCAACTCCGTAGTCTTGTAATTTTGAGCTCATACCAGAAGACAAAGGAACTCCTGGATCAAGTATTGGGAGAAATTTGCTATCGTAGAGGACTTTTTGATTAAACTAATCGGCATTTGAATTACATTGGGAGGAAGACCACTAGAACCTATCACGGTTAACCTGGCGGCAAAGGGACTCTAACTCATGATCCATCTACCACTGAGGATATTTCACGTCAGCACTGTGGTCGGTGCTAGCCGGATGCGGATTCGTATCAACCAGCCTTTGCTGGGATTCGAACCCGACTTACCGTATTGAAAGGCGAACGCTCTATCCCCTAAGCCATCTTGGCTCTAAAGGAACATTTGATATTTTGTTTTGCACAGAAACCGCGGAGCATAAATTCTCTCAAAATTCTAGTATGTACAGTTTGAAAATGACCTATTGACCATATTGGAAATGACCAGTATTGCCTACAATCGTATTTCGCACAGCTCATCAAATTAAAAAATAGACAACTAAACCTTAATATAACTTTATTTCTATATAAAATAAATAATCTCAGGAATCTTAAGCTGTAATATATTACTTGATTTAAAAAAATAGATTGAAATAAAAGGGTTTGAAATGTTCGAAAATAGCCACCCATTCTCCAGATTTGCCAGACGGGAATCAAGAGAAAAAATGATTTGAAATAAATAGACGAAGTAAGGACGCTTATTTTTATATGCGAGATCAAACATCCATTGCGTTTCTAGACATATCTCAACCACGCAAATATCCTTCAAATTATCTCAATTGTTGGGTTTGCTGATGAATGACCAGCACATCATGCGCGACTGGTTAATGACCGGCTGGACAGCCATAATATTATTGTGAGGGAATTTTCCATGAAAGTTAATTATTTTAATTTTCCATCAGTTGCTGTTTATAATCTCCAACTTCAGTAAAATTAATATAAATCAAAGAGTATTGTTTGATCTCATAAAACTTAATAATACCGTAGCTGCAATTAAAACTTTTTGAAATTTCGTAAGATTTTTACACATTTTGTTGAGGTAAAAGTAAATTTGATCAAAAGCTTTAGTGAACAAACTCTAGCATGCACAAAATCTCGCACAGAAATAAGGTAAATCCTGATTTTTATCCCCTTTATTATTCGTGCAAATCAAATATTTTGTTCCGTGTAGTTTCGCCAAGTAACCACTCAATTTTTCTGTGCTTCAAACTAATATTAACGATACAAATTTCTATAAATAATTTTGCTAAAAATGAATAAATAAATAAACGATTTTGACCCAAAAGTTCTTTATATGTATAATAAATGAAAAAAAAATTGATAAAAAGTGCGTGTAGTTTGTTAAACCATTTTGAAGTTTAAAATACATTAGCAGAATAAGTAGATTGCTACTTTTGTATAGATTTCTGTTATTACACTGCTATTTTGTTTCAAAGAATAATTTAAAGTTATACATTGTTTCAAGTTATGCATAGTTTAAAGTTGATACATTGGTAGAATAAATAGATTACTATAATTACAATGCTATTTTTTTCACAAAGAATAAATTCTTTAAAGTTATACATTGTTTAAGGCAATAGATAGTTTAAAGCTGCATGTACAGAATATTGGTCCAATAAATAGATTGCTAAAAGTTCATAGATTGCTGCTATTACAATGCTTTTTTGTTACATAGAATTAATTATTCAAAGTTAGTTTCCTCTGACGCAGAAGCTTTTAACTAACGAATACAAAGCGTGTTCTTGAAAAAGTTAAGAATCAAGCAACTTTTTTTTTCATTCGGCAAATTTCATTTTTATTAATTGAATTTTTTCACGAAAAATAAGCGGTAGAAGGTAATAATACTAAACTTACACAATTACAATGCGCATAAATTATTTTATCAAGGATTCCTACATCATCTAGTAAGCATTTTATTACATATCGCAGCTTACGAAGTAATAAACAAGTAGCAAACAGCCTCCAGCGTAGCAGCTGGAAGACTTGGAAGTAAGCGGAAGTTAAAAGTATCGGCCTTTGGCGATGATCTGGATAAGTGATCCAAAGAAGAAGAAAAAAAAACTTTTCTTTTCCTCGGCCCAGTCAGTGGCCAAGGTTGTCCACTTAATCCTGTCTTTGTGTCGCCTTGTTATGGCTTTGGTGAATACAAAAAAGATGGTCTTATAGGAAGTAATATCAAAAACTCAAAGAATGGACCTTGAGGAATACGAAATCGCAGCTATCCGCTACCTTTGTAAGTGATAACACTATCATTAAAATCAGTAAGAAAACGAGTCCAATGGCAAAGTTGAAAGGAAACTACGCGTTTATGAATAATTATGCTAAGTTGAAGTGATCGGGTTATTAATGTCGTTTAACGGAGCATATGGTGGTGCTTTAGTAACTGAAAGACAGTTAAAGCATTGTTAAGATAGCGAAAATGCAGAATAACGATTAAGTTCTATTTAATAAATATTGAAGAAAATATGAGTTTAAGCAATCTAATAAACGCGTTTATAAGCATATTATTCTTAAGCCTTGTTCAATATAGACTGTGTTCATTACCTGTTGATAATCGATGGATCGTTTTTAACAGCATAAAATTGAGTAGTTTGACAATGATTTTATCAAGAGCCGTGTTGGGTTAGGGGATAGAGCGTACGTCTCCCAATGAAGTGATCCAGGGTGGAATTTCAATGGTAGTTGGTTGAAACGAATTACGTTCCCGGCTTGTACCATGCTGACGTAAAATATCCTGAGTGATAGATGGATTATGGTTAGAATACTTTTACAATCGGGATAAGCATGAGGGGGTTTGTGATTTTCCAAGTAACGCAAATGCGGGTAAGTTCCGACAAAAAGTTCATTACGAAGGGCAGTTTGCCCGAATGCTTGATCCCAGGAGTTCTCTTGTCTTTTAGTTGGCTAACAAATTGCAAAGAACAGAAGCAGAGTGTAACATCGAACCAAATCAGGATTAAACAACAACGGTTATAAAATGAAATATAATGATTTTAACTGTAAAATCAGTGAACATGTAAATTATAGAGGGAAATTAATCTGTTCTGAAAAACATCTAGCACTTTTATTTAGCATCTAGTTAGTAAAAATAATAGAGTCGGTATTCATATCCATGTAAAAAACTCTCCAGGCACTAATGACATGGATGAACACCTTAATGCAATTGTGCAATATGCCACATTTTTTCATAAATGTGGCATATTATTCTATTTTAATATAAATTATGACATTAAATACAATCAAATTAAATACAATCAATACAATTAAATACAAATGATATAAACATGAGCATTATTTAAATATAAAATTGCTCAACATTGTTTTCAGATAGGTACTGCACAAGAATCTATATAATTTCTACTAGATAACACAGTGCACAGCTTACATGAAAACTAAATGCTCACCAAAATCGTTCTTTTTTTTCAATTTGATTAACATCATGTAGCATCGTTTCATATATAAGTTGTCTTATATAAGGTATATTGGACGCGTGAATAAATCCCGTAATGAACTAATATGGTACATTATAAGATACATAAATAATTGGAAATAAAAAAAAAGATTTGCTATTAAAACAATTACAATGAAGTTTAATAAAAGCAATACCAGTTGTAGTTTTGAACCTCTAAGGAACTAATTATATTACTGAACTAATTATATTTCCAAATCTAAAAATGTTTCTGAAAATATGTAATACTTCCATAATATTAAATAAAATATTTGTTTCAAAGCTAATTTGTTTGCAATAAAATTTAAAATATTTCCTGGGTTAAAAATTGTCATACAATTATTATTTCATACATTATTATCATTATTTTTAGTTGAATATTTGAATTTTTTTTTATGTTTCATGACTTTTACATTTAGTTTTTAGAAATTTGTTTCTGTTCGGAAAATGATTGTAAAATTTTAAGCAATTTCACTTTAATAACAAACGAATATTTAATTTTTCGAATCACCAAGACTAATATTTTAGACATTTAAAACTTTATCGATGGCTCTGAATTCTATAAAATGATGCTTTTTTTTGTTGCAAGTAATATGTTATTTTCATTACTGTGATTTTAAAACAGTTACTCATAACTGTTAGATTACGTTTAGTGCCTACCTC